TCTGTATGTCTCCATTTAATCATGAGTTGGTATGTATAAATATATGTAATGTATGAACACATGCACCTCATTCATGACATTCTTGCGTTTTCTGACATGCCTTTTTAATTATCTGTGACATTTGACCTCAAGAGAGTCTTTGCTTAAGAGAAATCAGAAGATGGTTAACTTATGTAAACTAAGAGCCATCTGAATGAAAAAGCTTTAACCAAATATATTATTATCTTTACCTTATTTAGTAAATGGAGGATTATTACTGAGCAATCTGGGAGTTAACACTCACAGGAATTGTTGCTTAGCAGTAGGATAATTTTTCCTGTGTAACTGAGCTCTGTGTAAAGATCTATTGATAAGGGTTCTTGTTTGTTTTGTCTAGACTCTGTTTACAGACCCAGGCCAGGTAGCTTGTCCAACAGGATGCTGCGGCTCAGCAGGTAATGGGTTACCTTTGCCTTTTTGCTGTTTGTGGATAAATCTGTGTAAGTTACCATTGGCGGCAATCCTCCACCGCTTCAATCCTCTGCATTCTTTAGTCTCTGGATATTTGTTTCTTAGGTAAAGAAATTTTTCCACTTCTTAATGAAAACAAAGCAAAACATACTCTGCTTACATATGTTACACATATTAATATTCTGGTAATGAAATAAATGATTTGTCAGGACAGTAAAAAATAAGCATATATTGGTTCAAGTACTAAAGAACAACCCTGAGTTTAGAAGTGTCTCTTTTTTGAAATTTTAGAAACACTTTAGTACTTGTTCTGTTTTTTAATATTGGGTTAAAATTCTTGCTTACATTACTATATACTTGGTGGCAACCTTCCTTATTTAGCATCTAAAAAACTGAGGTTTTTTTTAAACTCCTCATTTCTTTTATCTATTTTCTTTTAAAGATTTATTTATTTATGCATACAAGAACTGGGGTGTAGGCCAGAGGTGAGAGGCTGAGAGGATTCATCAGAGACAGAGTGGGAGCAGAACAGGTAGATCCACTGAAATACACTGCTGAGGGAAGCAGTGGGCAAGACAGGAGCGCGTCTGCTGTGCCATGTGGATTACCTCCCTGGCCAGGGATCAAACTCATGCTGCAGCTTGATAGTGCTGTGTTTTAACCCCTGTGCCACCAGGGAGGCCCTTATCCTTATTTTTAATATATACTATATGACTTTGAGGGTCTTCTTTCTTATTTTCCTCCAGGTTATAAAAACATTAAAGAAAGTGCAGAAATAGGTATTATCAGTCTTACTCTAAAGGAATATGAACTCAAGACTATTAGTATTTAGGTTTACCGGTGAGTGTCCTGAGTGACTCCCAAGTAAGTTCTCATTAATTAGAGCTAATTAGTTAGTGCAAGGTCAGGATGCCAGCAGATTTGTTGTCTGGTGAAGGCTATCTGCTGGTTCATAGCTGCCTTCTTCTTGCTGTGTCTTTACATAACAGAGGAGAAGAGGGAGGTCTCTGAGGTCTGTTTCATAAAGGTGCTAATTCTTTCACAAGGGGTCCATTCCATGACCTAATCATCCATCAGAGAGCTCCATCCTCATATCAATACACTGAGAATTAGATTTCAGCATGTGCATTATGGAGAGACACAAACACAGTTTGTAGCAATGTTCTTTTCTAATAATTTTGTAGTCATTAGTATTTTCTTGACAAAACCATATCCATTTCTGTGAATTTTTATTGGTTTGATCAAGAAAACCATGGACAGATTTTAATTAGCTTTTACAACTTGACAGAAAAGGTAAATGAAATGGCTATTTTGTCTTTCATAGAAATATTCATTAAATTTTGGAGTGATGATTTTTTTTTTCATAAAAAGTTGAAGCAATACAAAACAAAAAAGTACATAAAAACCAAACAAGGCCTCATGGTGGCAAAGAGATTAAAGTCTCAGTGCTATTAAACTCTCGCCAGCCACTGTGGCCTGAGTTCGATCTCCAGCCAGGGAGCTAACCACATGGCTCAGCAGACCTCTTCTGTCTCGCCTGCTGCTCCCCTCAGCAGTAATATTTCAGTCAATCTGTCTTGTTCTGTTCCCCACTGTGTCTCTTGTGAATCCTCTCACCCCTCTGCCCCTGCACCTTTGGCCTATACCCCAGTTCTTTTATGCATAAATAAAATAAATCTTTAAAAAAAACCCCAAAACCCAAACAAATTCTGCCCAGAAACATCCTCATTAATGTAACAGTTGATAAATATTATTCCAGACATACAAAGAAAAATAAACAAGCAGAGAAAAAAATGGCATTGTGCCATTTTTTAATTTTAAAGGAAAACCCAAAGATGGCATTGTAATCAAAATGCGAATTTTCTTGACTTTAACAGAAGAAAAAATAGGTTGGAGTCATCATGTTGCCCTAAACTGCACTTGACCTTCTGGAAAAAATTTTCCTCTCTTAGATCTTTGATTGTCTTTTCAGTTTTGTTCAGGATGTTCACGTTTTAATTTTTTTTTTTACATCATGGTTCATTTTTAAACAATATTTGCTTCCCCCCATCCCCTCAGTTGTAGTCCCCATAGAGTTTCCTTCACCAATGCACCCATGCACCATCACCTCAGTCCCTTGTGCTCCTCCTTCCCTCCCTCTGATCCCTCTCCCTCCTCCCCTGCAGGATGTCTCTGGTTTATAATTGTCTGTTTTTGCTTTGTTGTGTTTTGTACTGTCATCATTTTTATTACACTGATGTCTTATTTGGTTCCCCTATATTCCTGCTATAAGTGAAACCATCCGATATTTTCTTGTTCCTTCTGGCTTATTTCACTGAGCATAATTCCTTCTAGCTCCATCCACATTGCTGCGAATGGCAAGAGTTTATCTTTTTTGATTGCTGAATAATATTCCATGGTGTATATGTACCACATTTTCTTCATCCAGTCATCTATTTTTGGGTATTTGGGTTGTTTGCAGATTTTACCTATTGTAAATAGTGCTGCAATAAACATAGGGTTACAGGTGTTCTTTTGAATCAATGTTTTGTGTCCTGTGGGTAGATCCCTAGGAGTGGAATTGTCAGGTCACATGGTAGCTCCATTTTTAGTAGACTGAGGAACCTCCAGACAGCTTTCCATAGTGGTTGGACCCGTTTGCACTCCCACCGCAGTGTAGGAGAGTTCCTTTGTCACAACATTCTCACCTGTTCACTTTTTTAGGAATATAAGTCATGACTATTTTGACTCTTCTTTACATCCCATATCTAACTTTTTTCTATAATAATTTTTCTACCTTCTTAAGCACTTTCATTTTTATTAGCTGTCATTTTTAAAATATCAAAATGTTCCCTTATTTCTGTAAATTCTATTTCTCTTACTCTTTATTTAATCTCACCATTAATCAGCAAAGATACATGTTGATTTTAAAAATATATCTTTAAATTGAGGTATAATGGACATATCTATAATCATTTTTATATCTGTTCTTTTTCTGTTGTTTACATAGTTTTCTTTATATCTACCATATTTCCCTTATGCTTTTTTTTTTAAAGATTTATTTATTTATGCACACAAGAGCTGGGGTACAGGCCAGAGATGTGGGGGTGGGGAGGGGTGAGAGGCTTCAACAGAGACAGACTGGGGAACAGAATAGGCAGACTGACAGAAGTACACTGCTGAGGGGAGCAGCAGGCGAGTCAGGAGAGGTCTGCTGTGCCATGTGGGTTGCCCCCTGGCCGGCTGGGGATCGAACTCATGCTGCAGAGGCTGCAAATTGCTTCATCGTGTGGTGCTTAACCCCTTGCACCACCAGGGAGGCCCCTCCCTTATGCTGTTTTAAAAAAAATTTTTTTAATATTTTATTTTATATAATTCTTACATCATTTTTCATCTTTGTACAATGTATGCATTTTCATTTTGGTTATATTCCCCATACAATTGCACCCTCCCCCTTATTTTGACTCTAGTTCTTCCTCTTCCCGCCCCTCCCTAATCCATCTCACCCCCCTAACCCTGTAGTGTGTCTCTGGTTTATAGTTGCTTGTTGATTTTGATTATTACTTTGCATTGATTAGTCTTTTTCCTGGTCTCTTATTTAGGTTTTCTAAATTCCTGCTATGAGTTAAAAAAAAAAATTTTTTTAAATTAAATTATAACATATAGAAAAGTGCAAATATTTTAAGCATGTAATGTAGTGTTATAGCATGAAGTAATCATAACCAAAACTCAGATTAAACAGCAGAACCTCACTGGCTCCTAGAAACCATCCCCATGCTTCCTCCTCATTGCTTCTCTTTCCCTCCTTGCAATGGTGGCTACTCTAAATCATAGATTAGTTTTCCATGGTTTTGAACTTTATATAAAATGGAATTACTCAGTATGGTTTCCTTTTTGTCTGACTTCTTTTGTTCAGCAGTATGCTCAGGAGATTCATTCATGCTGTAGGGCATAGGTGGGAGTGGGCTATGGGAGGATCTTTTCTTCCTAATTTTATTGCCACATAGTCCTCAGTTTTATGATCTTTCTTCTTATACTTTCTTCTTAAAAATCGTGTTTTCTAGTTCTGGCTACTTAAAGGCTAAAATACAGGCAATCTTGTAGCAAAAGGCTATGTAATCTTTTCATTTTATAGTGACAGGAATCAAAGAAATGGCAGATTCTTGTTCTGGGGCAGGAAATATACAAGATGTGCCTGAGAGGTCTGGTCTTACCTGAATTCAAGGAAGCTAATAAAAACTTATATTCAGGGCCTCCCTGGTGGTGCAAGGGGTTAAGATGCAGCCTATGAGGCTGTCTGCAGCCACTGCAGCATGGATTCAATCCCCTGCCAGGGAGCTGCCCACATGGCGCAGCAGACCTCTCCTGACTCGCCCACTGCATCTCTCAGCAGTGTGTTTCTGTCAGTCTGCCTGTTCTGTTCTCCACTCTGTCTCTGGTGAATCCTCTGACCCCCCCCCACACCTCTGGCCTGTACCCCAGTTCTTGTATGCATAGATAAATAAATCTTTAAAAAAAATTATGTTCAGTGCTATGGAAAGATCTCTGATAGAACTTGCAGGGGTCAACATGGGGTAATTTGACCCATAAAAAAGGGGAAATATTTACAGTTGATTGCAATATATTAACTCTATAGTTCATATTGATATTAAAAGAAATAACTCATTGGACACTTTTTGAAGATGCTAGGGGACCACCACATTATTTGGAAAACTTAAATGACGGGAAAGAATCCATCTAGTCTTTCCCCCAGAATGTTCTGAGGTGAACAATTACTTGATGAGGGAAATTTATTTATAGAAGCATGCCAACTAATAAATAGGAGGGGTGATTGACATTGAATATCACCATTTTTCATCTTCCTGTAAAATATGGGTCTAGGCAATGAAGCCATCAGGAAAAGCTGATGAGGCACTTTATAGAAGATGGATCAGCTTAACCCTCTGAACATTGTTAATATCACTAAAAAGAGAGAACCATTCATTATAGGCATTCTGGTGTGTGT